ACTTCTAACGATTTTTCCATTAGAGGTTATTCGGGACCTCTATGATTGTAGTTTTTAAAAGTTTTTCTAACAAAGTTGAACTTTGAATTTTCTCCATTTTCAAAACGTTTTGTCCCAACTTTATCAAAAGAAGCTTTAAGATCATCAATTTTCTTTTGATGATCATCATTGACCTTTGAAAGTAAATTTTGTAAATCCGAATTTTTCTTTTCAAACTCTTCTAGTTTGATTTGCAAATTTTTGATTTTACTTTCAAGATCGTTGTTGGTTTTGGATATGAGTTTATTTTCATTTTTCAATTTTGAAATATCATTTTTATATTTTAAAAACAATTTCTCATAATCTGAAGCCAATCCATTATATTCCTCTAATAACTCATCATAAGATAAATCATCTAAATCAAATGAGTTAGAGGTTACCTTAGAATCTTCCCCGAATGCCATCAAGAACAAGTTTGCTACTTCTTGTTCCTCTTCATCGAAACCTTCTTCATCGCTCCATGTAGCTACGTGAGTCTTGTGTTTATTCTTTGATTGACTCTTTCTATTTAATTGTGGGCAATCATATTTGACATGCCCCAATTTTTTGCATTCATAGAAAATGATCGGGTCCTTCTCTTTTGGTTCATTTTTGAAGCCTTCATTTCGTTTGAATTTTCTTCCTCGGTTAGGCCTCATCATTTTTCTGAACCATTTAGCAAACAATGCCATTTCTTCGTCATTGTCATCTTCATCCGAATCACTCTCATCTTTTGTTGATTTGAGAGCAACTCCCACGTTCTTCTTCTTCTCTGTCTCCTTCTTTGGCTCGTCTCTTTTCTCAAGGTCTTCCTCTTCTTTAAGCATCATTTCATGCGTGAGGAGAGAGCCAATAAGTTCATCGAGGGTTAGGGATTTCAAATTCTTAGCCTCGATGATCGTCGTCTTCTTTGATTGCCAAGCTTTTGGAAGAGAGTAAACTAACTTTCTTACAATATTGTCATTTGGAATGATTTCTCCATATAATTTGAGGCTATTGACAATCGTGGAGAATCTATCCGTCATAGCTTTGACATCTTAATTGATTTCATCCTGAAATTTTTATATCTATGAGTTAGAAGACTAATTTTAGATTCTTTTACCTCGTTTGTGCCTTCATGAGTGACTTGTAGTTTGTCCCATATATCCTTGGTGGTTTTGCAAAATGAAACTCTCCCGTATTCATCCGGTCCAAGAGCACAAAAGATGATATGAATAGCTTTAGAGTTGAGCTGGAACAATCTTGTCTCTCCTTCACTCCACAACCTCAGGTGAGTAGAGGCTTTGATGTATCCATATTCTATGATGTTCCATGCTCCCATGTCACTTGCTTGAATGAAATACATCATCTATTATTCCAATAAGCATAATTAGCTCCATTGAAGAAATGAGGCTTGTTAACGGGCAATGAATCGAGACCGAAGTCAGAGTTTGAAGTGACGGCCATTGATGACTTTGAAAATCGATGTAACTCTTCCTGAATCGACTCAAGAGGCGATTAAACCTTCAAATGAGTGAGGCTCTGATACCAATTGTTGAGTTAATCGATTAACGGAATCGGCCAAGAGGGGGGTGAATTGGCAATTAAAAAATTGGTGGAAGCTTTTACAGAAAATTGAAAGAAGATGCACAGCGATTTAGAGTGGTTCAACTTTCTCAACCAAAGTCTACGTCCACTACCTTAGCTATCCACAATAAGGATTTTCTAAAAAATTCACTAATTTGTTCTTTCTTTTGAGGCCAAAGAGATAACCTTACAACTCTCTCAAAAATATACCTCAATTCTTGAGAACACTCTTTCTCTAAGAGAAATATACATATTTGCAAACTTACAAGGAAAAACCTCACAAGTTAGATTGTTTGCACAATTCAAGAACAAAGAAAAGAACACTCAAGAATGAATACAATTGAGTACAAGTAGTGTTCTTGAAAGCAAAATGAATATTGAATGAAAAATAGGCTTGAAGTGCTCAAACAATGCTTTCCCTTTGATTCTTACTTGATTCTTGTTTCTTGTTATTTCTTGTTGTTGATCAATGGCTTCTAAGCTTGTTTAAATACTTCTTCAATTGATTCTGAACGTTGGGGATGATTAGTGGAGTCAATAGAGTCGTTTAAGTGTGAAAACAATTAATAAAACTGGTTGGGAGCGTGCGTGCATCGATGCATACACAGGGTGCATCGGTGCATCAAGTGTAAAATTCAAATATTTTAACCGTTGAAACACTTAGTGCATCAGTGCACTAAGTGTGCATCAATGCATAAAATGCATTCGATATTTTGAAAAAGCCTGAGTGCATCGATGCATGGCTGGTGCATCGATGCATCAAATGCATTCGATGTTTTCATAAAACCCTGAGTGCATCGATGCATGATATGTGCATCGATGCATGAAATGCATTCGATGTTCAATTTATTCCATGGTGTATCGATGCATGGATTGGTACATCGGTGCATCACTTTGAAAAATTGATTTTAGGCTTGATTTTGGTTCAAAATACTTTGTGAAAATTGTTTCAAAAATATATTAAGTATAAAACATAATTTTACACTTTTAGTAAGGTTTGAAATTGATCTTGAAAGACTTGGAGTAATAATTTGATATTCGAGTAATTAAATAGAATATACTTAGAAAATCATTTGTAAAATCTTAAAATTCATTTATACTTAATTTTTTATATCGAAACATCAAAATGTTTTCAACATACAGTGAGTGAAATAGTAGAGAGGGTAAAGTTCAATTACCAAACGTATAATTTACCCATTATTATAATAGAAGTAAAACATAATGTTAGGCCCGTCTGGCTTTTTAAAAAACACTTTTAGGTAAAAAAAACTTGTTTCGACCACAAAACCAATATCAAACGGGTAAAAAATTTAAAAAAAATTGTGGTGAAAACGGTGGTTTCAAACCAATGGCAAAAACTAAGGGTCCGTTTGGTTTTATAAAATATAGGTTATTTTTATTTTTCATTTCCTTATAAAATAGAAAACGTTGAAGAAAACGCGTTTAGTTGTAAAATTAAAAAATGATTTATTGAAAATAAAAACAAAAAAAAGTGAAAATATGAAAACATAAAAAAGATGCTTTCAAAATTTCATTAAATTTTTTTGCAAATTTGAAAAATAAGGAAACATGATATCTAGAATTTTAACTTAACTTACACAAGGTTAAATCATTCTAACAATAATTTTTTGATTTAATAATATTTTAAACCATCAAACTTTTATAAAAAAATAATATGGTCCCTAATTTTTTTACACAATATAGTCCTTAAATTAAAATTTTTAATAATTTAATTTTGTACTATTTTTATATTTAATGTATTGAATATATTAATAATTGTTTATATTTTTATATTTTTAATCTAAATAAATTTTAGATTTTTTAAATCAAACAAGTCCTCAAACATTTTAATAATTAATTAAGTCCTTCTACTACATCATCGTCCATTGAGTCCTACCACAACAATATCATGAAGTGTCATATCAAAATTGTAGATTGTCATGTAAGTTTATGAACTATCATGTAAGTGTCGTGACTGCCAACGTTTGATTCCTCTATTTAAAGGGTTAGATTATTTTTTTTCAAGTTTAAGGATCATATTTGGTGCAAAAAAAAAAAAACGTCCAGAGACTACACTAATTATTTTTCCCCAAAAGTTTGAGGGTCTCAATTACCACTAACTATATATTTTTATGTTAATGAAACTATTTTGTGTCATTTATTATAACAAAATTTTGTGTATTGTTTTAAAATTTAATTGATGTTCAATATGCATTAACATTATATTTTTATTATAAATTAAACTAAATTTTGTGTTATGAAATTTCTTATCAATTTTATTGTTTTATATTTACATGATTCACATGTTAAATTTATGTAATAAAGTTTTTAATAATTATAGTTTGATTTAATTATTTAATAGATATTTGTTTATTTCTATTTTAAAAAATTAGATAAAACATACATTTTTACTATTTTAGTTTTGAATTAAAGTTTTTGTTTATACTAACCAAACATGTTTTCTAATTTTCAAAAAGTTGAAAATGAAAACTATTTTTTAAAAACAAAAACAGAAAATGTAAATAAAAAACATTTTATAGAACCGAACGGACCCTAAGATTTCTAGCTTTTTCAATTTCAACTTTGCGTTTGGAATCAATTTATAATTTTACACTTACTAATTCATGAGTTCCACGCAATTATGTATTTACATTTTATTTTAATAACTTAATACTAACATCCTTAAAAAATAATTTATTAATCACTAATTTATTTTAATATTAATTTTTTTAATATTGTTTTTGTCAGAACAAGTATTTAAATTATTATGAAATAATAATTTATTATCCACATGTTAAAATATATTGATAATATATTTTTCTTAATAAAATATTTTTATATATAAAAATATTATTAATGAGTTATCTTAAAATATTTTTTTTATATTTTTATTATAGTTTAAGTTGATATATATTTTATATCATTGTATTACTAAGTGTAAATATAATTTAAATGTTATATTTTTAATTTACAATATGGTGTCTATAATCGATATTTTATTTTTTGAAACTTACTTTTTGACAATAATCTCAAACAGTTAAATTTTAAACTGTACTTTCGTAAAAAAGTTTTAGAAGTTCGTTTCTACAACACTTTTAAAAATCACTTTTCAAAAACGACGCCAAACTAACCCTTGATAGGATTTGTTAAAAATAATTAGCGAGAGAAGAAAAACATAAGAATAGATGGGATGAAATAAATAGTTTGTCCAATTTTTTTAAAAAAATTAAAATATTAATAATTGTCCAGAAAAACCAACGATTAAACAAATTAGAAACAAAATCTCACCCAAAAACTAATACAACATAAATTTTTATTTTATTTTTAGAAAAAAGCACTCGTTAAGAAGAAAAAGATTATCACAAAGACACTACAATGACTTAAGTTGTAAATAACACACTCATGATTATTCAATCTTTCGTTGCAGGTGATAAGGACATCCTTTATTCAATCTTATTTGATGTAGGGTTTTGTATCATCTTTTGTTTTCACCGGTCAACTTGCCTCCCATTGCTCGCTTTATCCACTTTTAGACATCGTAATGTCAATCTTCGGAGGGTCCGAATGTCTCCTATTACTAGCCGGGAATGCCGGGAATGAAAGCCGTCTCTTTGAAGACCCTGCCAATCCCCTGTTTGGTGTGCCGGCTCCCAGAGGACTTGGTACTCGGGACCTGGCTTTTGCTGACTGTGTTGGTGTCATGTAACTCGGAACTCCAGGTGAGTTTGTAAGGCTCTCATCATCTCTCATTGACGAGCCCGCAATGCTACGTCTCCGATAACGATCGGACCGGGCACTGAGTATGCTCCTTGAGTCCTCGTAACCTCCCCAGAGACTCCCCCTTGGACTTGGCAGTCTCGTTTTACCGGAAACCGATGAAATCGAAGATGCCTTTGATGGTGGAGTCAAATGGGATTGACGGCTAGGAAGTCGACTTAACTTCAGAGGTGTCGGAGATGGTTTGTTATCGTTGTTAATATCTCTTAGAGAATAAGCTCTGCTGATTTCACCTATGCTCTTGATTGAACCAAAATCATTGTTATCGATTGTGCTTCTGGTCTCCCACGGTCGGGCTGCCATCCATTGCTCTAACCAAGTCCAACCCCAGTGCGGATTTTTCGGATCCATAAAGGTTAGGTTTACTGATCTAGAACAGTTTTTCCACGATTGCTTTTGAAGAAAACAAAAGGTAGTGTCAACTCCGTAACAATTCGATTCATGATTTTAGATTAGCACTGTAAACAAAAGAACACCATACCTGGTGACAGTATGCATAAGCCAATGCTCTTTCCCTTTTCATAGCAGCTTCTTGCTGTTTTTGTTGTCTTGCTTTGATCTGCTCCTTTGACAGCGTACTATCATTCCAGTCTTCTCCGATCTGAATTAATGTATATGCTGTTTAAATCGAAAATAACAGTAGGAACCATATCTAAATTGCTACTAAGATCGGGGTTAACGGGTTTTCTACAAAGGCAATCCGAATACCAAGAAAACCGAAGGTTGAAGAAGTATTAGGAGATCATGAGCTCAAAGGGTAAAATGTGCTTAAAAAATGAGACTTACAGAAGCTCTCAACTTCTCGAGCTCTTTCTCACATTTCTGTTGAAGATGGTGCTGAAGTGCCGTGTTCTCTTCCGAAATTCTAATCCTCCTGGCACAAATCTCCGACTGCACGCGTGCAAGAGTCTGCATGCATTTTAATGTCGTACTTGCTTGATGTTTGACGTATTGTCCTCGCATCAGCGACTTCAATCTCACCAACCCTCTCAAAGCTCGCAATGCCCTCCTAGCCTGAGAACTCAAATGCAACAACTCGATGCATAAATACAACTAACAGCTCACCGATCGTATAATTCAGGGGAATTTGTGATTATACATCACCATGATTCAAGAACACCTTAAGTTTTCACCACGACTTGAAATTGACATAAATAGCCAGAGATAACCAAATGCTCAAGGCTCGAAACTTTTCTTGATGGCCGAATAAATTAAAGAAAAGCTTGAAAATAAAATTAAAGAAAAGCTGATACAACTAAATGGGGGCATATCAAATTCATTCAAGTATACTGAGCATTTCAAAACCAATGATCTCTTAAGAACTCATCATTTCATAAGGAATAAAACAAGGTCCAATTCAAGCAAAGGCGACGACAAATTTAGCAAAATTCATACATATGTTAGCAAAAACAAAACAACAGTCAAATTCGAAAATCAGGACACATCTAATTTGTGATTATCCATCACACGATTCAAGAACACCTTACGTTTTCACCATGACTCGAAGTCGACGTAAATAGCCCGATATAACCAAATGTGTAAGGCTCGAAACTCTTCTTAAAGACCGAAAATTTCAAGAAAAGCTGATACAACTAAATGGGCTGTATCAAATATCAAGTTCCATTGCAAAGTACAACGAGCATTCAAAAATCAGTAAGAACTTCAACTTTAAGCAATGGTAATGACGATGTTAACAACAGTCAAACACACATTTTCGGATACTTCAATAATGTTTCGATCTTACGTATAAGCATAAGTAATAAATGAGAAGCTAAAACATCGAAAGTAAATAGAGAAGGAAAATGTTATATATACCAAATATCCCCGAAATGCGGATTGAATTTTAATAGCAGCTACTTCCTCGTTCGACTTCCCCGGCTGGCGCGGCTGAGAAGTGAGACGAACAACTTCAGCAGCCGCCTGAGCAGCAGCTACCGCCGCCTCAGCCGCCACAGCGGTGGCGACAGCGACGGAGTAGGCATGTTTGCTTTGCTCGTTTTCAGCTTCTTTCAGCTTTACATCTTCAGTGTCTTCAGGCACAAAAACTGGGCACAAATCTTTGGTTTTTCCGAACCATTTCTTCTTTGATTTTTGAGTTTTCTGGTGAAATTAATTAGAAACAACAAATCTAATGAAAATCAACCCAACAAAAAAAACCCATCCTATAAATTACGAATGAAAACAGTAAAACCTGATCTTTCTTGGAATCAGGGCTCAAAGCTTTCTTCACAATAGAAAACCAGCCACCCTTTTTTCCCATCTAAAAATAATAAAATCGATGGAATTAGAGATAATTTATATATATATGAACTCAATCTAAGAAATGAAGAACTACACAGATTCCAAAAATGGAAGATCTTCATTAAAAACAAAATCCCATATCGAAGTTTCCAAATTTAAACAGTCTTTTTTTAATAATAAAAAAAAAAAAAGAAAACCCAATGCACAGGTCCAGAAGAAAAATATATGTATAAAAAGAAGAGTGAAAATTTTCAGTACCTTTGTACATGGAAAAAAAATTCAGATCTTCGTTAAAAGATTGCAACTTTCATTCTCTCTCTTTATTCCTACTGTGTAATAAGAGAGATAAGTTGAAGTAGATCTGAGCAAAGAAAACTTGAAAGAGAGCAAAAATGGCGGAAAATAATAAAAAGAACAGCTTGGCAATTGCAAGGATATATAAGAAAACGTGGGACCCAAAGTGGACCATGTCCAATTGCATTAAAATGATGATAACAAACATCGAAACATGACTGCTGCGGCAACTACAAGAAATCACATTTAGTCAGTTTTGAATTATTTTTTCAAACTACTTTTTAATAAATATTACTAAATTACATGTTTAGTATCTTAATTATCAGTTTTATTCCATTTTAGTCACTTAATTTTTTTTAAAAAATCCTATCTAATTTTACATTTTGATTTCAGTTTTGTCATTCCTCGTTAAAAATTAAAAAAACTACTGACATATTATTTTAAAAAAAATTAAAAGATGATGTGAAATTATTTTATAGTGATACATCAATATCACCATTAATTTATTAACTGTGAGTTCTAAATATGAAATTAAAACATAAAGTTACATGTAATTTTGAAACAATTTGAGTAAACGAAATAAAAGTGATAGTTGGAGTATTAAACATATATTTTACCTTAAATGTTATATAAAAAGTTATTTTGAAGATTATTTTTAAATATTTTTAAAAGTTTAAAATTACTATAAAAACATATTTTTAGAAGGTAAAATATTTATTATAAAAAATTAAATTTATTATCTGAATTATATTTAGATTGATTAAAATCATTTTTCATACATATATTATAATATATTGTATGCGTTAAAATTATTTTATCATTAAAAAACGTAAATAATATCATTTTTAAAATTTTAGTATATATTTTTATATGTTAATATAGTTAAGATTTTAAATTATATAATAAGTAAATTATAGTGGTTTAATTTAATAATTTATCTCATGAATGAATACTATTATTTTTAATCTTGAAATATATTTTGAATGAATTATATAATATATAATAAAAAATGTAATGATTTATGTAATGCATAATTTTTAATTTAATATTTTTAAACTTTTAATTTAATAAATTTCACATTAAAATTTAAATATTTAAAATTACTGTCAATTTTTAAATAGATAAAATGTATATATATATTTTGAGATTTTTTTTATAAATGTTGACGTTTAAGTGAAGAAAAATAAAAAATGATTAATGGATAAAATTACAACACTTGAAATAATAATAAAGTGATGAAAATAATTTTGTCAACTGAAAACGGAAAAGGTATATAACGAACTAAGTAAGAACAAAAAGTAAAATCGTCTTTATTTGATAAGCAATAGCTTTAGAAATAAGCAAACATCCATCATTACATACGTTAATCTATCACATTTCATGTCAATAAATCTAAAAAGTATTTCATAAATTAATTTTGTAAATATAAAGAAAGAAAAAAAACGTATTAAATTTGCATAAACTACTTTGAGTTACGAATTCAATTCATTGATTCTTCTTTTATAAATCTTATATGAATATAAGATCATATTTATTTTAAGATTTTTAACTTTTTTACAATGAATGCTCATACTTTTAGTATATGTACTATTTAAACTTGAAATCTCATGGAATAACAACAAGTCTTTTAATCACTAAAGTCGTTTGTTTGTATCAATTCAATAATTTTTAGATATTCAATTTAATATTGATAAAAATAATTATCTAAATGAAAAATAATAAAGTACTAAATGATATTAAAATAGTATGGTAAAAGTGTTATTTTTTTCATGATTTTATATATAGGTTAACAATAAACCAATCTTGACAATTTTTAATCATCAATATATTTAGTTTGACCAAAAATAAATAATATATGTTGCTTTCTAGTTTGACCAAATATAAATAATATATTTTGATTGTTTAGAAGTAATATTGTTTTCACCTAAATTTTTACTTATCTTTTAAATTCTAAGTTTAAAGTTGTTCTAATTATTATTTATATTATAACAAACTATTTTAAAATTCATGTAAAAGTTAAATGTTTATTGTGTTAATTTCATGTAATTAATTGAGACATAAATATAATAGTAATTGATTTTAAAATATATTTTATTTATAAAGAAATAAAAAAAAAACAAAATATTTTTTACTACTTTGATATTTTACCCCTTTTAATGATTATATATATATTGTTATTATAGTATTTAATACCTAAACTTGAATTCATAGTTTAAATTAGTTCTTAATACCTTTTCTTTTTATCCAAATTGATATTTAATTTTAGTTACATGATTAAATTAATATTTGTATTTTTGTCAAAATTAATATTTAAATTTATTTTTTCAAACATATTAGTATCTAGTGCAACATCCCTTTTCCCTTATTCGCCGCCAAATGCGAGTCAGAGATTTCACATGAAACATTTAGAATAATATTTATTCAAAAATCGGTAAAATTTATTTTTTTAAATCATTCATTAATATTTATCACTAAAAATTATTTAATCGTGCAAAATCAAAAAATAATATTTTTATCATCCAAATCATATCAATTTCAGGTAGCAGGCGAGCAGTTAAAAAATATATATCATATAACAAGTAAAACTGCCTTAAAAACTACTTAAATAAAATTTATCTCCATAGTAGTAAAAAATTGATTAATCAAATATTAACTATAAATTCCATATTCGTAACTAATTTAGTTACGTACTATTTATTAAAAGCCAACACATATACATTATTATAAAACCATTTTTAAAGTGTAGCCGTATTAAATATCACAAACACTTATTATATGTATATATGTCAACTAGAAAATCAAAACAACAGTAGGAAGTCATTACTAATACCGGTATATAATCCTCAATAGTTGAAGCCAAGCTAAGCTCCTTACTCCAATCGATTTCCTTTACTTATGCTTGAAAATCATCACACGCTAAGTATAAACTTGATGATGCATTTATAACTTTAAAATAAATATGTCAGAACATATGTATATAGAAAAATATAAAACAAAATACGAATATCATACAATAACCTATAATATAAAACTGACTTTCAAACCATTTACTACTACAGTAACCTGCAAATAAGCAATTAAGATATAATACATTTTATGCCAAACTAGAAATATTCTATGAAAGATTTACTTTCAATGAGTCAATCAAACCCACACCTTTTCAATTTCATTCAAATCATATGCCCAATTTATATTAAATAAGAATGCATAGCATGCAAGTCAGACGATTGTGCACAATATGCAGTTTAACTACCAGTAATAAATTACATTTTTAGTGTCAAATAGATGTATATGTACTGTAGAACACAACATCACTATACAAAAAATCAGTAATCAGATATGGTAGCTCACAAAGTCAAAACGTCATGAACTCCATAATGCACATATAGTACATGAATGTACCAATACGAATATAACAATTATCATAAATCAATGCATTGGGCAATTCATACCCAAAATCATTCAGATATCATTTAGTATAATATTATTAAAATATATCATAATATGATTCAAATATTTTTCATTTTTTAAAACATTCAACGTTGACTCATCGCAAGTCTTCTTCATATCATACATATAAAATATACATAGTAATGCACTCACTTGGTATATTTAGCTTGCAAACCTTTCTTATCAATTCAAATTTAACTCTTGAACTTTTTCCTTAGCATTAAGCTTGCTTTGATTTGGATTTCGACCACGATCTATATGAACACCATTTACAAAACATATACATTTCAAAATATATGTTTGTATCTTACTAACATAGGCGCACATTAGCATAAAAAATTCTAAAAAATTCTTTCAATACGAATTTCATTTCATTTGCTCAATACTAATCTTAACACTTCAAAATAAAACTTAAATTCTCTTAATATTCAATTCAACAGATAATTCGCTTAACATTTCCAAATTCGTAATTTGATCAACAAAATGAATTCTAAAATCTTTTAGAATTCATCCCATATTTCCATAAATTTCAACATTGTCCCATACCATTTAACTTCAAATTCAAATGTCTAACAAATCATTCAAGCATTCCAACAAAGAATTTAAACATTTTTAGCCCTTGTATAATTTTCCAAAATTTTTCCTAATTTTCTTCCTATAGGCCGAATGTCACTTATACATGATTTTTAACTTGACTCTAACACAAATTCAACTTCTAAACACCATTTCCAAGTAATTACAATCAACTCCATTTCAATTTTAATTCAACTTCAATTTTATACAAAAACCCGAACATGGCCGAATTGAACAAACACCATTTTCAAGCATGGAAAGCATGAACAAATGGTACTAAATGATAGAGAATTTCATGTACAATAATTTTGTATTTTATGTTTTCATCCAAAATCTTAATAAATTGAAAAAAAAAATCTTCTTACCTAGAGAACCCAGGACTTGTAGAAGAAAGATGAAGAGATTTTCCATGAAGTTCTAACAACATATCTTAACTACTTGTCATATATTTAATTAAAATGAATTTTTAATTCATTTTAATTAAATAGATAAGTATTTTGCTCCTGAAATCACATGTTCCATAACTTTCCACCTTTCATTTTGTTCATCCGAAAGTAAAAAATGAACCAAATAGTTAATAGTTGCCAATTATGCCCTTGAACTTTTCCAAAATTACAATCTTGTCATTTTTATCCAACGACCCCGATTTAACATGAAAAATCAACTTAAATCCAACGATCCTTATTAAATGTAATACCCCAAACATCGGGTTAGTGACTATAGCGAAAGGATTTAAAAATTTGGTGGGTTAATTTGAATAAATTGGAAAGTATAAGAATTTATTTAGGAAATTGTGTTTAAACTTATTAGTAAGAATGGAAGAATGGATGGGCATTATGGTCTTTTAGAGGGAAATCAATTTAAAAGTCATTTTATTAAGGATATTTATTAAGGGTTAAAAAGGGGAAATAGGATAAGCTAAAAACTTGGTTCTCTTCTTCTCCTTCTTCTTCTCGTCCTCGTACTCTCCACAACAAAGGTAAGGTTTCTTCAAGTTAGTTTTCCTTTCATTTTTGGGTTGATTTTGAAGCCTTAAATGATATAGAGGCTTAAGGAAGGTTTAGGGATGATTAAAACAAATAGATTAGTGATTTATTTGAGATTAAATAAAATGGGTTTTTAAGTGATTTAATAAAATATGGTTAGTTATTGGAGTTTAAAAG